CCAATCCCTCCCAATTATGGGCGTGGGTTCCCACCACAGGCCGCTCAACGGTCTCCTGCCACGCCTCGTCGCGGCCCTCAAGCACAAGGTTCGTCCTGCCATGTCTTTTCTAACCTACTAGCCCCATTTTGCCCCAATGCTTCCATTAAGACATGCATTCTAACTCTGTATAGTACCAATGCCTGCTGCCCCCATGGCTCAACACGGCGTTCCCCCTCAACTCCTTCCTCAACAACATCGCAATATGATGGCCGCCAACGCAGCCAACGAGGCCGCGCTCCGCCGCAGTCGCAAACCCACAGACAAGAACATCCCAGAGGGAATCGAAGAAGTGGTTATTGGCGAAGGTGTTCAGCAATACAAAAGCCTTCGCGACCTCGAGAAACGGCTGGACGCGGCCATCGTGCGCAAGAGACTCGACATTCAGGATTCCATCAGCAAGACCGTGAAGAAATACCGCACCATGCGCATTTGGATATCCAACACGGTCGAGAACCAGCCGTGGCAGAATGCCTCGGGCCAGAACGGTGCCAGCAATCCCGGGTCCGGGCGGTATAAGGTACGCATCGAGGGACGTCTGCTGGATGACGACAGCGACCCGACGGCTCCGGAGGACAGCGACGAGGAGCAGGCTGGTGCAGACGACTCCGCCGATGCGAACGGCGACGCGATGGAGCAGGATGGCCCCGGGGCTCCGAAGCCCAAGACAAAGCCCGCAGCGTCAAACAAGCGGTCTCAGCAGCGCTTCTCGCATTTCTTCAAATCCATCACGATCGATTTCGACAGACCGGCCACCACGAACCCGGAAGACGTCAAGCCTATCACCTGGAACAAGCCGCAATTACCCCCCAACGCCGTTACGCTCCCACCCACCGCAGACTTCGATTCCATTCAGTTCTCCCGCGCGTCGCAGGAGAACCTCAACGTGACGGTCAGTCTGGTGCGTGACGAGACGCCAGAGCGATATAAGCTGAGCAAGGAGCTGGCGGAGGTGTTGGATGTGGAGGAGGAAACTCGCAGTGGGATTGTTCTTGGCATATGGGATTACATTCGCGCCATGGGACTGCAGGAGGATGAAGAGAAGCGGCTGGTACGCTGTGACCACCGCCTACGATCGGTATGTTCCCTCTTCTCCTTTCATGTTCCGGCCCCACACAACCCTACCTCTTCCCCATGCCATCAGCTCCCAATACTAAACCATACTTTCCCATCCAGATCTTCGGTCGGGACCAAATGTTCTTCCCCCAGATTCCCGAAAGCATCGGCCCGCACACCAGCCCGATCGACCCCATCAAACTCCCCTACACCATCCGCGTCGACGCCGACTACCACAACGACCCCACCCCCACCGTCTACGACATCCAAGTCGCCCTGGAGGACCCCCTGCGGTCCAAGATGCTCGCCCTCACCCAGAACCCACAGTACACCGCCGCCATGCGCCACATCTCCACGCTGGACGACCAGGTCGCGCTCATCGTGCAGGCCCTGACGCACTCACGTGCCCGCCACTCCTTCTTCACGGCCCTGAGCAAGGACCCCGCCACATTCCTCCGCCGCTGGGTCAACAGCCAGCGGAGGGACCTCGAGACCATCCTTGGCGAGGCCACGAGAGGCGGCGGCGAGGACGCCAGCGGGCCGGAGTTCCGGAGAGGCGGCACCGATGGGGCGTGGGACACCCCCGTCGCGAGGGAAGCGGTGCGCTATATGCTTGCCAGACCCGAGGCGGCCATGGGGAGGGCTCTCTAGAAGCCTTCTTATCATATCCTCTATTGGGGATTCTGTGCGTAAACTCCCTTCTCAATGAGAAAGACTGGTATGTATGATTTACTTCTCTTTTTTTTGCTTAAAGGGTCACACACACACCTTTTCCGATGATGAATACCTCGTTTACCCAGCTCACTCAGACACACAAGAAGTTGTGCATGCTGTCAAAACACGATTCTTTACTCACGTAACATTCCTGATATCTTGGATTGTCTCTTTTTGGTCTTCCTCACACGATCCTGTGCCTTTACAAGATAAGCTAACCAATCACCCAATCTATTGAATCAGGTTCCTGTCTATGACATCGTCCATCTTCACGTTTGTACTTGCGGACTCACATCCGGGCAAAGATTCAAAGCTTCTCTGATCTTTCTAACTGTTTGATTTTAAGGGGAAGGGAGCGGGGGAGGGGCGCTTACGTGGTGTTTGGACTTTTCTTATCCGGGATGCTTAAAGTCGGTGACTTTTTTTTCTTTTTAACTTCTCCTTTGGCCGTTTATCTAATGTCAACTGAAAACGTCTTCCATGTTTTGTTTCTCCCGGGTTGTTTTTCGGTATGTGTAACGCCTACTTCAGGCGAACGGTCAGAGTCTGGGCAGAAAATCTTCATGAAGGGTGCGGTAACACGTGGATTACGGTGCTCTAGTACTCTCTTGCCCTATCTCGGGGTTGGAAAGACCTGCACCAATTGGGATGCGAAGACGTTGATGAAGATATAATCTTTGCGTTTGAGTCACGTAACACGGCATGAATCATCTGAACCCATGGGGAAAAAGAGCAACAGAAAAGACAGACCTCATAACACCGTACCATCCCGTCTTGCATGAACTCGGATCACAGCATGGGACAAAGAAATTCAATACAGGGAACAGGACACTTCGCTGAATCAGTCGAGTTGGAAAAACATCGAGAGCATGGGATTAATAAGTAAGCAATGCGACCACGAACAGATTCAGAAATGCGATGATGTGGAACTGTAATAGCCCGGGGGAGAATGAAGCTAAAAATGAAAACGATTTCCCTTTATAAGAGTGGATTTAGGCCGAGGTGAGTTGGGACAAGGGGTTCTCTTCGTATCGTCTCGTTTGTTGTAATGAAGGGACAAGTTGGAGATGATGTCGAGAATCGGACGTGAATGGAGGCCCCTAATGGGGAGGGGGGAGCGGGATATTCTCTATGCGGCGGCCACATGAGCCTTCCTCTTTCTCAATTCCTCTGCGAGACCCGTATCCACGGCGGAAGCAAGCTTCTCCTCGGATACATCCTCCAAGAAAGGGCTGCCTTCCTCCTGCTCCAGCTTCGAAGCAGCCTCCAAGACAACCTGCTGAGCAATGTCCTCCTTCAGTTGATTAAGTTTCTCTGCCTTCGTGGAGTCCGTCACGGCTCCCTTGGAACGCTTCTCCTTTTCGCTAGCGGCGGGTCCGCGGAACCGTTTCAGGACGGTCTCGACCATCTTGGAGAACCAGAAGTAGTTGAGGGAGTTGAGGACCACGTTCGAGATCACGTAGGTCAGCACCAGCCAGGTTGGGGTACCGGTGGCGGTGTAATTGGCATACTTGGAGAGCTCAAGCTGGGCCTGGGCACGGGCTCCATCCAGACTACCGCCGAGAGAGGCGTCGTGGGTCCGGAACACCTGGGCGGTGATATCGACAGGTTGGTTGAGAGCGGTGGCCACGTCAGTAGCATCCCAGGTCTGTTTCAGGGCGTACCACATGTCTCTGTAGACGTCCACGGATCGCCATGTACCCCAGACAAGACGACAGCTGAAGAAGGTGAAGAGGAGCATCATGCCGTTGTACCACTGAAGCTTGCTGCCGGTCATGTTGACCTTGTCAAGGAACCAGTGGATGTTGAGGAAAGGGCTGGAGAGCTCGTAGAGGATGAAGACGGAGGAGTAGTAGTTCACGAAAGGTCTCTGCAGTCAGAAAATGAAACAGTTAGTTGGGAGTGAGCTACAGCTTTCAGAAAGTGGGCGAGAAATGTACGTACGAAACCGAAGCTGAACACCCACAGGGCACTAATGGCGTGAAACAGCATTCCGACACCAAACATCTTGATGTAGACGGTACTGACGATCAAGTCATAGACAAAGTAGCCAGCAGCGCAGGCGGAGACCAATCCACAGACTCCTGTGTAGCCGTAGACCCGTTCGGCGGTGTTCATGGAGGATCGCTCTTCGTCCACCCACATAGCCCATAGGGCCATGGCGTTGATGAAGGTGCTCTGCACCAAAGACACGACATGGACATCCCAGTTGAGCTTAGTGCGCGGGCTCAGTTTGGGGTAATGGCGTGGGAAGAGCAACGGAGAGAGACAGGGGGAGAGGATGTAGTGGATGAAGAGGTAGCCGGTGAAGGACAAGATGATCTCGTGGGCATGTTCGGTCACAGCGGGCACGTTCAGGTAGAGAGCCCAGGGCTCAACAACTTCACGCAGCCATTCCGGCGGCGGGGGAAATGGGTCCAACATTCCGGCTGTTGACCACTCCCCGGACTTACTTGACAAGGGAGGGGCTATGTCAATAGTGTGAATGAGGAGAACAGGAAGATGAAAGCGAGAGAGTAGTCGGAGAGATGGAGAGGGGGGGAAAGAAGGAAGGAAGACGGAGGTGGAGACGGAGACTAAATTAGTAGTAGTCAATGGACTAGTCGGTCTAGACTAGACTTCAACTAGAAGCAAGGAAGAAGGCCCTGAACCATATTTAAGTCTCCAATGGAGAGTTTGAGCATCAGGGGTCATGCTCAGGACTGGACTGGACTGGATGGACTGGACAGTACATGGTTATTGCAGCAAATTCCGGTCAATGCATGCAATAAATACCGCCTTCCCCCCATTGTTGTTTTTGGCCTGATTCTGGTTCTGTTGGGGAAGGAGAAGGCTGACTCAGCAACCAGGGGGGGGGGTAAAGAGCATGTGATCGATGATCCGTTTCTTTCTTTCTTTCTTTCTGTCATTTATTTACTTAATGTGCTTCATTTCCGTTCATTCAAACTAGGAACAGTTGAGGGACTATCACATATGATTCTTCATCACAAAAGAAATCAAAGTACAAAGTACAAAGTACAAAGGAAACCGTTCCAACATCATCATCCTTCATCCTCCTCTAAAAACACTCGGATCTCTTCAAACAAAAGCATTCAGCTCAATCAATCGCTGGAGTGGGTGTGCAGTAAGTTATAGTAGTCGTAGTATATGCTCATGAAGAATCAACATCAACATCACGCGACGTGAATCCTCGGGGTCAAACAGGGTACAAAAGAAAATGAGTGACAAAAGGTCATTCCACGGGACTTCATGCCGCAACACTTGTGACCTCGGGTCCAATACCACTGTCACTGTGCTGCCCATAAACCACCAATTTCGAAGACTGCTCGTCCAACTTGAGCGGGTGATCAAATTCTTCATCATCCTCGAAGCCCTCTTCTCCCACCTCAGACTCCTCAGGGTCATCTGCCGTCGTCGTTTGAGCATCATCGTCAACCTCCGATGCCTCGCTTTCACCCTCGTCGTGATCGTCCGCTACGGACCGTGGGCCGACTGAGCTAGTGGCGCTTACCCGTCGATCGGCGCCGGAGACCACACTGCCGGGTCCATAGACCATGCTGTCTGCATAGGTCCCTGTGTAGCTGGTTCTTCGCTCGGTCCCTGCATCGCTCCCGTCCTCGCTCTGATTCTCATCCTCTTCTGGAAACACTTCATTCTCCTTGTTAGCGACGGAGCTCTTGCCGCCCCAAGAGGCTTTCCGCTGGGAGAAGTTGGATTTGACGGAATGGCTACGTTTGAGACCCGTGAACCCGCTGCTTGCGCTCACATGTCGATCTCCAGCGCCTCGATTCCCAGTCACGTTGCTGAGACTGAGAATGCGTCTTTCCTTGCTGCTGGTGGGAGGCGCTCCAGATCCGGCCCGCGATCCAGCGGGGCCTCGCTTCTTTAGCGCCATTCCAACGCTGCTGCCGAGAAAGCTGCGGACATCCTTCGCAGTACTGGCGGTACTTGCAGCACTGGGACCTCGAGCTCGTGATCCACGCGCCTTCTTCATATTCAGACTGTTGGGCCGGCTAAGAAGAACACTCCGAGCATGGTCCAGGACACCTTCCAGGATCCGCTTCTCCAGGCTATCCGCGCGGTCCTCCATGAGCTGCATCTCCTCGTGACGAAGCTCGAGAGCCATCTCCAACCCAGCGACTTCCTTGTTCAGTTTCGTGGTCTGTTTGATAAGGTTGTCCTTCTCGGACTTGAGGCTGTGGATGATGTTTAGGAGAGAGTCCTTCTCCTCACGGAGGGTTTCAATCTCGGCTTCCACTTGCTCCCGCTGTGCATTTCGTCTTTCAAGAGCGATCGCTGCCTCTTCAGCCTCCTTTCGCCGTCGCTCATTGTCTTCCGCGATCATGACGGATTGGGCTGCGAACATCTCGTTCATTCTTTGAGAGGTCTCCATAATGTCCCTGTGCATCTCGTCAAGCTTCATCATCTGATTAACGGATTGGTCGGTGTTGGTGGCATGGTCGATCAGAGTGTCCAGCTTATCATGGACCGGTGCATTGGAGTTGGTAGCGTGGTCAAGGAGCTCTTCGAGCTTTTCGTAGACCTGACCATTGGTACTTGTAGTTTGACTTAGAAGCTGATCCAGCTTCTCATGGACTTGGTCATTGGTAACCCGTTCCATCAGGGTGCTCAGTGTCTCTTGAACCTGATTATTCTTGGCATGTTCAAGGAGATTGTTGAGCTTCTCTTGGACAGGGGTGTCGTCGTACTTCTCGGGCTCCGGTGGCGGTAGGGCTGGGAGCAGCGGGGTGATTGTGGAAGGGATCGTAGAAAGGTCCATCCGGATCTCCTGCGCGGATTTCTGCGAATGGTCGTAGTGCTGCCCGACGATCGCGAGGATTTGCTGAATGGATTCAAGCACTTGTGGGTGGAACTCATGCAGTTGGCTTTCCACGCGATCAGTGGCAGCAGCAGCTTTCTCGAGGTCTGATCGAGCTTGCTCCTGCTGCGTCTTCACTTGATTGTGCATCTCCTCCATCTTGTTGTAAGACTCGTCGACCTTCTCGAAGAACGTTTGGGCGTCGACAGTCATGCGCTCGCAAGCTTCAGTAACGCTGTTACCCATGGACCCGATCACAAGCTTAATATCTTCTGCCAGAGCCTTGGTGCTCGTGACTGCCTCAAGGTGTGCATTGTCACGATCTGCAGCCTCAGAAAACTTAGAGTCCAGAGCAGTGTCCATGGCGGCGTGGACCTCATCATACTTCGCCATGACCTCTCCGAGCTTCTCGTCGATCTTCGAGCCCAGCTCGACAATGATGGCTGCTCGGGTCTCATCCTGCTTGACCATGGCAGCAGCGTCTCGCTCCTCTTTCTCCAGCTTGGTTGCATCTTGTTCACCCCGCGCCCGCTCGAATTCCCGGTTGATGAGCTCGGTGAGTTCGTTCACGTTCTCGACGGTGGTGAAGCTTTCTGCAGACACTGCAAGACCCTCAAGTAATTGCCTGAGCTCAGCAAGCCCTTGGTCACTGCCATCAAGCTTACTCTTAAGCTCGTCACCGAGGCCCTCGACGACGGCCCTGGCCTCTTCGATTTTCTCTGCGAGACCTGCATGTTCCACTTTCCGTGCATCAAAAGCCTGGCCAGTCATCTCATTATCGGCATCGACCTTTGCGCGGAATTCTGTGACAAGTGCGGTCAAATCTTGGATTTCCGTCTTAGTCGGCAATGTCTCGACGTCTGGCAACTTGAGTTCCTCAACCTGGGTCTTGACCTCGAAGATCATCGCCTCAACGGTCTGCAAGTCTGCTTTGACCAATTTCTCGGCGTTATCTTCTTCGGGCGCTGCTTTGCCCTTTAACTCATCCAGGGCGATCCACATGTCCTTCATGAGCGTCTCAAGCGTCCCAATCTCGGCTTTTGTCGGGCCTTCCGATTCAATGCGGGTGGAAAGCTCGGAAATGGCTTCTTTCGTCTCTGCAACGATCGCTTCCAAGCTTTGCAGTTGCTCTGCCTTGGCAATCTCATCTGCAGCCGGAAACTTCATCTCGTCTAGCTGAGACTTGGTGTTGCGGAGCAATGTCTCTATAGCGTCCGTGTCCTCCTTTTTCGCCGTTGTCTCGTCCGCAGGTTGGTCGCGGGCAACAATTCCTGTTACAGCGCTCTGAAGTTCGTGCAGGCCAAGAAGGACTTCATCGAGATGCTCCTTCTTGACGATGTCTTCCGGAAGCTCGCTGCTTCTAGGAGCACCTTCAATAGCCTCAACCTTGGTCTGAAGCTGTGAAATCAAGGTTTTCAGTGCCTCAAAGTCGTTACTCGTACCGGGGTTGATGGGCTCGCTTGGAACATTGGCTAGCATCAATTCCCCTCCGCGAGTTGTTTCTGGCTCGTCATTCAACATATGACTCTCCGTATGAGACTGACGCAGCATTTCAACGTCCGCTTTGAGACTGCTAAGGCCTTCCTTCAGCGTGTCGAGGAGCTCGGAATGATCAAACTCCACTGGCTTCTCCAAGAGCTTTGCAAGATCCTCTTTGATTGTACCAAAGCCGTTGTTGACTGTATCAATGAGTTCGCTCGTGGCCGCAAGCAGATTTTCACCCGCATCCTTGGGCTGATTATTCTCCTCGCGGAAAGTGTCGAGACTCTCACGCAGCGCAGCGATAATATCTTCTTTGTCGCTATGCTTTTCGGTGGGCTCTGCTAGCTCCGTCGGTTCCGCGCGGACAAGGCTCATATTCATTGTGTCACGAAGCTCTTCAATCTGCTCCTTGATTATTTTGGTGATTTCCTCGTTGTTCGACGATTTTTGCTGGTCAGAAATGTCACGAATCGCATCTAGGATCTCATCTTTCTCGGTGGACACGTTGCTTCGAATAAGAAGATTACTTATAGTCTGTCGGAGGTGTTCGAACTCCTTCTCCATGGCGTCAAGAAGCTCGGGAGTATCAGGATTGCCGCGAGAACTGTTAGAGAGAGCAGTTTCTGTTATGGTCTTCTCCATATCAGCCTGCAACAGTCGGAAACCTTCTTTTACTGTGTCCATGATCTCGTGCTTCGCAGAAGACTCCGCTGCAGTTGCAGCGTACCCCTCCAACTCCTGTCGCACAACAGCAATACCATCCTTGATAGCATTGAGCAGTTGCTCGCTGTCTCTCTCGTTCGTTGAAAGGTGGTGGCTCAGTTCTTCTTTCATGCCATCGAGGTGCTCTTGAAGTTGTTCGAGCATCTGGTCGCCAGAATTTTGGTTTGCAGCGTTTGCTTCTTGTAAGCCAGCGGAGATAGCTTCCATTAGGTCGTCTCGGTTGAGCTCAATTTCACGCGTGATAGCATTCTGGCTTTCCATTCCTTCTGCAATGGCATTGAGAATCTCGTCGCGGGAGACACTCGGCTGGACGTTGGTGGTGAGGGCCGATTGATGGGCAGCAAACGCTTCGTTGAATACATCAGCCACATCTTCTTTGGTAATGTGAGGGTGTTCTGTAGCCTTGGTTGAAGCGAAATGCACCTCGAGGCCTTCTGACAAGGCACTTAAGATCTCATCGCGGCCAAGCCCTGAGTCAAGAGATTCTCTACTCAAGGCACTCTGGGACGTAACAGACTCGGTAACTGCCTGCAGTATCTCTTCGCGAATCCCATCAAGGTGCTCAGGTCCGAGGGCTGGAGGAGCTGGAGGCTCAAAGTTTGCGAGGCAATCGTGAATTGTTTGTACGATTTCCTCTTTCGTGATGCTTGGCGGTTGCTCAAAGCTCTGCATACCAGCTTGAACGGCTGTGAGCACCTGGTCGTAGGTAACAGCCTCCTCGTGCTGCGGCTTATAATCCTTCAGACCTTCTGAGAGGCACTCAAGGATCTCGTCTCGCTCTAAGCCAAAGTTCTGCAGTTCGATTTCGGGCTTGTACGATTCCCACGCTTCTCTCACTGTCTCGAGGATGTCATCCCGTTCCAGTACGGGCCCTTGAGGCTCGGGCCGTAATTGCGAGAAGTCTAGCTCGTCCAGGGCTTGCTTGACGATGGAGTAAATTTGTTCATCGTTCACATTAGCTCGGAAGTCAGAGAGCGATGAGGCATGGAACTTGCTGTCTTCGATGATCGATGCTAGCTGTCCTCTGAGGTCGTGGAGGCTATTCTCAATGATCGCAGCAACCTCTTCCTTCTGAAGACCGCTAGGCTTGTCTTCAATAGCTCGAGAGGATTCGGCTTCTTCAATTTGGCGGGCCAAGTTTCTGCCCATTCCTAGAACCTCCCCACGCAATTCTCGTACTAGGGCTTTCACTTGGTTTGTCATGCCGCCCCCTTCAATGACGCTGTTCTTTACGATCTTCATTATAGCAAGCATCTCCTCCGTGCGGTGATCTTCCATGGGGACAAGAGCGCGCTCTGGGTTGGCATTTATGTCTTCTGCGCCCATAGATTTTGAACGGGCCAGGCTGTTTTGGATGTTTGCCTGTTCGTCATCGTCGAGCTCGCGGGCGTGTGAGCGAACCAAAGCCTTGCTTTGAGCTTCATCCTTAACAAGATTTAGAATCTCCTCTAGCATAGTCGTTACAGCGCCATCATTCGGGTTACCGGACGCCTCCGATATGGGCCTAGCTTTGATCTCCTCCGCGACTTCCAAAAGCTTGTCCTGATTCTCTTTCGTCGCCATCTCTCGCAGGACTTTCTCCAGCAGTGCGATACTTGCCGAGCCATCGGAAATTGGTGTGGGTGATCCGCACAATTCGCGTTCCATCGCTGCGGCGAAAGGATTAGGGCTAGACATTCGCGGTCCCGCGTAGCTCTTTTTCGAGTTTGGAGAACTATCCGGTTCCCTGTTGTTAATACCATTCTCAGAACCCGGTAGAGAACTGAAATCCCACCTTGTGGCAGCCTCAGAATCAAGGAACTTCGAGGCCAAGCTAGATGACAGATCACGGAGGCTTTTTCGTATGTCTTCATCTCGGGCGTTGGTGGCGGCCTTGAGACTCACAAGGTCGGTGGCATTGTCTTTACTCCGTCGGCTCAACTGAGCCATCTCGCGCTGAAGATTGCTGGCAATATCCGTGAGACTGTGAATTTGGGTAGACAAGGACTCGAAGGAATAGGGATCAGGGCGCTTGGGCCCCACAAATGGGTCCGACTCGATGAGCTTCTGTGGTGCATCACTCTCCAGGGGTAATTGCATGTTCTGCAGTGCTAGCATGGTTGCCGAAGGTGGAGTACTCTCTCCAAGGATCGGTCTGGAGAGATACCGGTTGGAAATGAGAAGGCTAGGCATGTCTCGTTCAGGTTCTCTGGAGTCTGGCGAGCTGGGCGTCTTATTCAGGGCCGACTTTTCCAGCGACTTGGATCCTGGCTCGAAGGTTGAGGCCCGTTGGGGCCGCTCCGGCGACCTGTTCTCCAGGTAATTGAGGAACTCGGACCGAGCATCTGTGTTATTCTGAAATGATTGCATACGCTTATGAAATTGGCCTTTGATGAGGGACTTCTCTGGTGATTTAGGTGGCATGGGATTAGTCGTGTATGGACTAGGAGCATTTTCGCGTATCTTTTCTGCGAAGTTGGCCGCTGCGGCTTGAATGCCTGGGGAGACATTCGATCTGGTCACAGGGCTGGTAGAACTGGGGTTCATGGGTAGCGGAGGGGGTGCCCGTTCGGGATCCGAACTGTCCCACCTTCGTTTCCACGAATCCAAGGTCAGTCATCCATCGCTTTTTATGAGATGAAACTTGAGGATCTTCGGAGACCCCCACTTCAGGGCACGAGGTTGGCACGTACATGGGCACGGACTGATGTCTCAGCACCAGTTCTCGGTCATGAGAATTCTCACGACTGTGTGAAGGCATGATGAGCTTTCAATTTCACTTGTTCCTGGGAGGGGTGGAGCAAGTGGCGTGTGTGTCTGTCGATGTCTGAGCGGAAAGTGGATCGATGGATGGATATCCGCAATGTGTGAGAAGGAGCTATGATCATGAAAAATGCGCCGCAAGTCAAGGTCGTGAAGGCATAGCAGGTCGTCAAATCGCGCAAGAAAAGCAAATGGGCAATTGTGTCTTGGGTAAGAAGCGCACAGTAAGAGCAGGTATCACGAAAGCAGGAACGACAGAAAAATGGAGATTGAAAGCAAATGCGCTTGCTAGTATTGAAAGGGCACGAGGGCGGGGAGGGCTGGGGAAACAACGGCGGCAAGGAACAACAGCAAACAGCAACAGCAACAGCAACAACGTCAACAACTGCAATGCGACAAACGCGGACAAGATGCGAAACTGGCGAGACAGGCGAAACTAGCAAAATTGGCAAAACTCGGGGGGGAAAGGAATAAACTCCCGAGGTGATCAGTTAATATAGCGGGCAGTTGGACCATGGAAGTGGAGTTGAAGGCTGGGAGTAGTTGGTAGCTCATGGGGCATCAACCGCCGTTCGGTCCAATGTGCGGCGTACACATCAAGGATAGCCTCATAGCAACCGATGCCCTGGCTGGTTGTCCCGTAAACAATCAGCCAAGCCTTCTGGAGGTGGCTGGGGATGGAGGCGGTGAGTGTGGGTTTGTTGGGTTTGTTGAGTTTGCTCTAACGGCCTGATGGCCTGACGCAATCGCATCGAAAGCCTGATCGAAACCATTTGCCGCCTGAGGCAGGTCCCGGCAACCGCAGCTGCCCAGTGTCTCGGGCGCTAAGCCATTTTAGGAGCGCTTACCCAGAACAGCCTAGTAGCCATCAGTCGGTAAGGTGACCAATGGAGTGCGGGCACACAAAGCCCTGAGCCCTCTTCACTCAAAAAAAATAGACCGTCGAACGCGGAGAACCTCACTTACTCGACCGAAGCATCTCGACAACCACCCCATCGACCTGCCGCTCACCGGGACCTTCACAATGAAGTGTTAGTGAAATGCCGCCTCATCTCGATTTGTGTTATCGCGTCGTCGATCGAAAAACTGACAGGATGTTACGATAGTCATGAAAGTGGGCCGTGTGGCCATCATCACCCGTGGCCGTTACGCCGGTAAGAAGGTACGACAACAATCTACTTGATTTTCTGGCACTGGAATACCCATATATACGGAGGACAACGGAATCGCTGTGGAAATACGTCTCGTCTGCGAAAAAAAAAATGGAGAATTGAAAAGAGCCGGGAATTCGGTGGGAAGAAATGGCGTGGAGGCAAATGGTCGAACGATCGGACGAGGGCGACAACTGCGACATCCGAGAACGAGGAATATTATTTGGTCGGCTTGGAATCACACTGGATATATGCTGACGAGGGTCTTTCTTTGCGATTTGACAGGTCGTCATTGTCCAGCCTAACGACACTGGCTCCAAGGCGCACCCCTTCCCTTACGCCATCGTCGCCGGTATCGAGCGCTACCCCCTCAAGGTCACCCGCCGCATGGGTAAGAAGACCGTCGAGAAGCGCAGCCGCATCAAGCCCTTCATCAAGGTCGTCAACTACAACCACTTGATGCCCACCCGTTACACTCTCGAGCTCGAGGGTCTCAAGGGTGCCGTCTCCAACGACACCTTCAAGGAGGTCTCCCAGCGTGAGGACGCCAAGAAGAACGTCAAGAAGGCCCTCGAGGACCGCTACACCAGCGGCAAGAACCGTTGGTTCTTCACTCCTCTGCGTACGTTTCACCCTCCGTCTCCCGACGCTCGCGGCTCGTTATCCCGGCGGCATTGCTGACGGTTCTACAGGTTTCTAAACGGGATAATTGGGGCGTTTTGTCGTTTGAGCGCGCAAGGTCTTAGATGAGGCAAAGGGAAAAAGAAAAGCATCGAAGACGTCCAGTTCATGAGCTAGGGATAACGTGCAATATACCATAGCTGGAGGAAGAATGGGAACGCGTCGATGTACAGGTCCAGGACTTGGCCCATTTTCTTATTTACATGAGGGAAGCCACTCAGATCTGGCGTCCGTCTCGAAATGAAATGGAAAATATGAACAAATTCAATTTCTTTTTTTTTTTTTGTTATGAGTTGTTCTCTGGCCTGTGGCATCGCCTTTGGTCCACGATTCCTCGGCTATTGACTTGATCAAGTTGCCAACATAGCAATCCCCCAATCACACCGTGTCGGACGACATCGATTCGAAGTCCGGCAGATTTGTGCACACTCCTAACTCGATTCTACCGTCGCATTCTGATGCCAATCGATCCTTGCCTTTTGCTTCTTGGCCATGACAGCATTACAAGTTTCCAACGTACGGTCTCGAATACTGATGTCGGATTGAGATTGCCTGGGACTCGTCGGGCCTAGATTGTGCTCGGCTTTATCATTTGCCGTCCCGTGCCCCCGCCCTCACCTCGAGAGTCCAGGCATTCGACAATCTCCATGCTGAATCCAATCCCAGCTCGTAGGGATCGATGTTGGGGTAAAAGCGGAGCTCTTCACACGGATTCATCCCCACGATCGACCACAGTAATTGTCTGTAAATCCCTTTGGGCTCCCCAACCCCCGACCATGACGCACTTCCGAGACCAGGGGGCCATTGACCGATGGCCATCAGCGAATAGTCGGCGTATACCTCAATGCGACCTGCCCAGTACATGTACAGCTGGCAACCAATGCTGATATCGCGCACAAGGGGGTATAGATATGGCCCTGGAGATAGTAGAACGACGTACCTAGTAATGCTCACCCCTCCCCGAATCCTGTTCCCTCTGCGCGGTGCTTTGGGGTGGACTTTCAGCCCATGATAAGGTACAATCGCTACCGCTTTTTCGGGCTTCTTGTCGAGATCCTCATAACCAAAGTACGAGGGGTCAGCGACAAACTTTTCTGTAAAGAGCAAATCGCGGTTTCGAAGTTGTCGGTTGTTCCCCGCCGTGCCCCTACGAAACTCAATGCTATGCTCAAATTCGGATAGGCGGGACCTAGGCCTCTACCTTTACGGACTACCTACGGCGTTTGGAGAGGCGAGAGATGCAGGATCTTACAACATCCGCCTCCCGGGCATGCGGGAAAAGTGTGGGCGTTCCGTAAAAGCTGCATAGAGGGGTGCAGAATGGGTATACTGTTGTAACGCCCAAAATAGCACGGAGCTAAAATGTTTAACCAGGCTGGCTGGTTGGGCGGGTTAGACCTGCCAGGAAGTCAGTGATGGAATGGTTAAACTCTACAGTCTCGCCATCGTAGCCCAGAACGCCGGATAGGCGGCGCGAAGACAACACAAGAGCGATGGAGGGAGGGAGGGACATAGCTCCAATAAGCACTAAATTGGACGTTTTCGAGACGGGCAAGAATCTAATGCATGGCATTGAGTCCAGTACGCTCGGCGCCATAGCGCCTAGACCACCAAGCGCACTGAACTACTGTAGGAGAAGTCCAGTCCTAAGGGCAGGACCTTCATTCAACCATGCAGGGAGTCGGATGGAATCATGGGCAACGCCATCCAAGCCTCGGGTCCAGGCGCAGCGAGAAATACTTGACTTTCCTTACTTAACTCGATGGGAGTAATTCAGCGGAGAAGGTTGTCCGCGAATTGAAAGACTATGAATCAATATCGGTCGGCGAGTAAGTTGAGTGCGCCATACACCACCGTTAATGGATCAGGTCTATGTGGTTTTGAGATGTATCCAGTTGGCGGCCGGTTTCCCAGCTTGTGACAGTAGCCGCCCTCCTCCGATAAGGAAAGGCGCTAAAAGGGGCCGGATTCAGGAAGTTTTGCCTAGGAAGAAGATTCTAATGTCGACTGCACGTGTAAGTGACATGGGGAACAAAAGTGCAGATGTCCTGATTCGAATCTCTTGAGGCAAATCAAAACGAGGTGCTTAGCATAATCTAGGAAACATGGTGTGTAGGATGTACTACTGTGGGATGGATGGATGGATGGTGGTGGTGGTGATGGACGTAAGTTAAGTCCGTGGTTGACAAGAAAAGCCGCGAGATGGAAGACCCACAATCACATGCTATAAACTCATCACCCCATCGATGAATTCCATCATCGTACTCAGTACCATCATCACCACCACCATCGAGAACGCGAGACTTTCGGTCGCCAACCCTATCTAACTATACGGACCACCCAATGATTCTTTAAGTGCTTCGTTGAAGTACCCTGCTGAAACCACAAGGTTGCCACATTGACAACGCAACTGTAACAGTTCTTATCGGGCGGCGGCTCCCATTGCAAGTTCCAAGTAGAAATGCGGGAGGCTTTCATGAGGGCTGGGTATGGCGTTGACTCCACCTCGTCGTCCTTTTTTTTCTTTCCCCTCTCTTTGCCTTTTGCTCTTTCTCCTTTTTTCCTTTTCTTTTCTTTTTTTTCTTCTTTTTTTCTTTTTTTTTTCTGTGCTGAGATTTCACCTGCATTCAATACGGTTTGCCCTCCCTGTACAGAGCAGGCATGAAAGCAAGAAGAGGGGTTAAACCCTGGTCAGATCTTCCTTTGCCATCAAGCATCGTTCCGAGTTCCAGACCTTGGAGGGAGGGAGTGATTGATTGATGGTGAACAGGTAACCTATGACGAAAAATGTAGCTAGCACGAGCAACACCCCTTCCGTACGACTTGACTAAGTGGACACTTGCCAGTTAGCCAGTCACTGGATGCCCCTCCATAATAACCAAGTTCAAGTTGGGTCGTTTACTTCTTAATCCGGCTCCGCTATCACATGCTGCCAACTGCAACTGCTCCGATGTCCTCGAGAATAAGAGGAAAATCCAAAATTAAAATGATAAACGATAATTCCAACAATAATATTAACCCTCAATTATTCTGGCTGTACTCCGTAATCTCTGGAGAGAATTAGGGAATTGAGGAATTAGGCCCAATTACACTCAATTTCAGCTATTCTTGATAGCATGTGGTACCTCTGATCAAGCCGAGCTGTCTGTCTGAGCTACCTTTAACAATTAAGTTACCTGCGGTTCATCTTGTCTGGGAGGACCATTCCGACTGCATCTTCCTTAGCAGGGCAGGTTGATTGCTATCTTTCATACTCTACTTCACTTACCTACTACCTACTTCTTCTAATTTACTTTAAGGTTGTACCCTCCCTCGAAAATTCACCTGCATTTCCTTTCTTCCCTCCCTCCCTCCCTCCCTCCTTCCAAATTCCCAATTCTTCCCCTCCTTTCTTTCCCTTCCCTCCCTCCAGAACCTTTTATTCTCCCTGCGCTCGAACTCTTCTTCCGGAGTTTTAATCGTATTCCCACCCCCATTCCCACCCCC